CCCCCCCCCCCCCCCCCCCCCAAAGAGTAAAAATAAAAGAGGAAAAACATTTTGCAGGAAGCAAGTACGTTCTCTTCTTACATTATCTCAGAAGTCTGTATGGGTTAGTGCCTTGTGCTTTTATGCTTCTTTGAAATGTGATATTTTCCTGACCTAAAAAGGAATTAATCCAGCATGTTAGTGAAATTTACAGTCTGGAAAATAAGACTTAGAATATTAGAACTATTAATAGAAAATGAGATGGTAAGGAAAATCCAAAAGTGTTCAGTGAGAGAACCTGGAAAAGTAATGGGACAGAATAAGGGACAGCAAATTATCACTATTACCACATAGAGAAATATTGTCCGTTTTTTACATGCACCAGCAATGTAGTGTTGCGTGAATCATCATGTGTTTGATTTTGGTGGTTGAGGTAGCTGAATCTGGTGGTAGCATGAAATGGAAACATCTAGTAAAACTTTCTAGTGCATATATTGAAGTAAGGTTTTAGGGGGACCTCTTTTAGTGACACTTGGACCAGTTGTATATTTTGGCCTGTCGCAGCTGCAGCAACACTCCAACCCTACTAGTGCATGTATTTGTAAATGTTGAAAATGGGATGAAAATACCTTCTTTCCTTTACCCCCGCCCCTAACAGAAGTATTTCTTCAGCGTAGTACAGGGGTTGGCAACCAAAAGCCCATAGCCATTTTATCTGGCCCATGGATGTGACACTTCGGCGGCATTTGGTGGTTGGGCACTTCTGCAGCAGTCACTTCCCTGTGCTGCTGTAGGGAGAAGCACTGGTAGTGGCCGGGTTCTAGTGCCCACCCATCCATTTCCTGAACTGGGTTACTGGCCTGCAGCTAAAAAGGTTGCCAGTTTCTGGTGTAGAGTAATATGAGAGACAAATATGTTGGAGCCTATTTTTTTTTTTTTTTCCCCCCTGTGGGACTGACCAAATGTCACAGCCATCTTCAGAGACACGTCATTGAAGAATAGACCAGAATGCAAAAACAGTATCAGCATTTTATTTTAAAAATTGTTTGTTTTTTTTTAAGTATTTGCATTTCATTAAGTCACTTATAGACAAAATACTTATGTCTATCACATATTGTAACCAGCAACCACACAGGACTTACCTGAATGTTGATATATACAATACAAGTGCTACCAACCCCCATAATCCTCACCAGCGTATTTTTCATCTACACTTCCAGGCAGATCCTTGTCAGTTTTTACCATCATGGTTCATCTGTGGTTCCATAATCAATTAAACTACCAAGTAAAAGAGCTGTGTGATTTGGTAATTCATTGACTGCTGCTGTTCATGTGGTTGCCGAAATATACCTCTACCCATTGTCTTCAGATTTTTTTGGCTTTCTGACCCAAGACAGAAGAAGAAAACATGTTGTTTTGAAGAACGCAGCAGACAGATTTGGATGAGAAAATTAAAAAAGCTTACATCTCAGCTGTGGAACAGGCCAGGAGGAGATGCTACTTTTCCATGTTATTAAGCATTGCATAGTACCATGATGAACTGTTCTAGAACAAATTGCTTTGTTCCTGGACACTCTGTGCATAAAACCTTGCTGTGCATCTTGACAGCAGCACTGTTTCCTGGATGGTTCAGTGTCTGGTAAAACTCATTTCTTGGATGCAGAATAGCTGAGTAGAACCGGTCTAAGAGAGATTTGGTGGGAGATGTGTTCTTTGGATCCTTCAGAATTCCAGATTGTCACTTGATAACCAGATACCCCTATAGCTAGGAAGAAACACCTTATTCTACTTAGGACATGCTATCCCTTGGTTTCAGATTCAGTAGACTACTTTTTCCCCAAATCAATGCAGGGATAAATTGGCTCCTGCAAGGGTGTGGTAGATGAAAAAAGGAAGAGTGGACTGGGTACTGAAAACCTGAACCATGCCAAACTTGCTTTAGAATTTGCAGGGGGTAGAGGGCCAGAGGTAAAATTTTGAGAGAGATTTAAATTTTAAGCATGGTTAGTCAAGGAATGGCTTCTGTAACCAGTCACAGATAGAGACAGGAAAATACTTCCAGGATAGTTTGTTTTTACCTCTAATTAATCAATCTCCCCATGGTAATAGAGCCCCCTTAATTTTAAGAAAAAAGATCTTGCATTCAAGGAATGCATAAAACAAAGACTGAAACAGAAGATAGTGTATCAACTGTGATACTTGATATCTGTGTTTTAGCATGCTCTTTAGTTATTTTCTGACACCCAAAAGAATCAGAAGTCTTAAGGTTACAGATGACTACAATGAGTAGGATGTCAGAGTAAGTAATGGTCAATGGTAAAAGATGCAGAATAAGAATGATTTAAATGATTACATAACTGCTTGGAGAACGATGTTTATGCTCAGGTTTTCAGTCTTGCTTGGCTGGACATCTGACAAAGACCCACGTGTAAGAACCAAGTATCAGGTTGGTTTTAGTTAAAAGAATTTGAGAGTGCTGACTGATAGGGGGAAATACTCTTTGTAAATGTCTCCTGGAAAATAACACTTTATTCAGATTTAATAAAAATACTTTTCAGAAAATAAAAAGCTGATAAATTAGATTTAAGTTGAATATAAATTAAATAAAGTTGTATAACAGTAACTCTGAATTGAGTATGACGTCTCTGTTGTACCAACCAATCCAAATATAACTTTATTGAGAAAATAACTAACATATAAATGGGAAAAACTTATTGAAATAGGTTTTTTTTAATTAAGGCATTCCACTTGGTGATTTATATAATCTAAAATGAAATCCATTCATACTGACTTTGTTTTAGAACTAGAAAAATGGAATTAAAATATGTATCCCTCTGCACCACTTCCCAAGTGTGCCCAGCTTTTCTGCACCTTACCTGTCCTGTCCTGTTCTGAATGTTACTTTGTACTTTCTTTTCCAAGGAGGTATCTTATTTGCAAAACTTGAGTTCTTTTTTTCACTCTGTTATGCTACTTATCAGTTTCCTGACAAATTTCACAAAATCCAATTCCCATCAGTAATTTTTCCCCTTAAAAAGCAAAAAACAAAACAAAACCCCAAAACAAAAAAACCCTTCGTATCAGAAGTGTATATTGCATATAACATATGGCAGTGCATTCTGTAAACTATGAATGTGACTTTTAAATTATTGAAATTTATACTGAACGGATGTCTCTCCAATAGTAAATTAAACTCTAAAATTGAGTACGTAATAAGCAAAAGCTTGTTAACAGTTTTAATGAGTGTTGAATCGCAGCTAGAGGAAACTGCTGGTTATTTGCCACTACAAAAATATATTCATTTTAAAGACTGTCATGTGACAAAGGTGCATACTAAACAAGATTTAGCTCAGTCAAACAAATTTCCTGTTTCTAGAGTTTCACTGTTCTAAACAGTGATAATGCTATATTGTTGATCAGAACTAGGGTTCTCCCACCTTTTTATAAACGGTTTGATTTTCTTAAAGGGAGACGTACAATACATAACTAAAAAAAGAATTTCTCTATTTTATAGTAGAATTTCTGAAGGCTGATGCTGTTAAGCTCTTGCTAGAGCAGAGTTAAATGATTTGTACCTAATGTTAAAAAGCCACTTTATCCATGCCTTAACTTCTAGGTTTTTCTTTATTAAGGCATTTACATCAGATGAAGTAATTAGAGCTGAAATATCCACCAGTTTGTTCTCCAGACTTGCCAATGGTGAGCATTCAAAAGTTGACATTGCCTTGCAGTTCAGGTATTGGGGCTTTAAGAAAAATGTTAGATATTAAAAGGCTTGTGAAGTGGCAGTGCTGGCTGTTTTATTATTCATGTATTAATAAAGAGCCAAATATTCTCCCCTCCCCACGCTGGTTTTAAGGCTTCTAAAGACAGTGACTTTTTCCTAACCTTAAGTGTTTCAAGATAAACATGCTCTCTTTCAAATGTATGTGGTCTGAAAAAATGCAAGCTAAACTCCACTTGCATTGGTTTACTGGGTGCATATGATTCTTGGAAAATCAGTAATTTGACTGTTATCTTCCAGTTCTTTGGAAGAATTTTTTTTCTTTCATTTTTCTTTCTTTTAAACACCATTTTTTAGAAAGGATTCCTTGTTGGCAGTCTCATTAGAATGGCCCAAAACTACACACATGTGGAGGTGGAACTACCTTACAATCTAGTATGGAAGAAAATTGCAGAAAACTGTGGGGGCTTAGGAAAGCTTGTACTGCTTTAACCTAGGCTGCCACATTTCTCTGGCTAAACAGGACTTCAGATGGACATCTTTTTGCAAGATGCAGAACTTCTTAGGGTGGTATCTTTTATAGGACCAACTACATAGTTTAAGTCTAACAAAGAGCATCTCGCATTCAAAAGCTTGTCTGACTCTCTATCACAGCTATGCAGTTGGTCCAATAAAAGATATCATCCTAAGAAGTCTTTCCCTCACATAATTCCTAGACCATCATGGCTATAACATCACTTGCTAAAGAGATCATCATCCCTAGCTATTAGGGCTGTGGTACAATCCCAGTTTTGAAAATATTATTTATTTTTGTATTTAAATATTGTAACTTCATTGTGATATATACTTTTTATTTAGACAAAGGTTTGTGTGACTCTTTAGTCATCTAACTTTTGTTGCTTCCAAAAATAGTGTGGCATTCCTTGCTCCCTCGTTGTAAGGTAAATTAATCTCAAGTCTGGTCTAAAATGAATCTGCCAGCCTTTCAGAGTTTAATGAATGGTAAAAATTGTACTGTCAATCCTTCCTGATCAGAGAGCAGCTTTTCCCACCCAGATACGCCAGAAGGAACTGTAAGAGAGTCTATCCAATTCTGGCTTGTTGCTCACTATAATTTCTTTTAGAAGTTGTGGAGATTGTGAAAAAATAATTCTGTAAAATTTGCAAAGTGGTAAAATCGATAGCAATGGGTGCCATGACTTCTAGTTTCCTGAGTTAAAGCTCCTAAAACTCATGACAGTGCATCAGCGTAGTATACTGCAGGTATTACAAACCCTTTCTAATATGGATCATTTATTCTCTAAAACGGGAATTAGAGAATATCTAACCAGCTGTCAAAGACTTCAGATGTCTGGCTGTCAGGTATAACAGCCATACATTATAGTTGCTTTAAGAACTTATTTTAAAAAGCAAAAATTCAGACTGCAGTTAGGCTGGGACACACATGCATCTTGCATGATCCTATATAATGTGCCTAAAGGGTGTCAATAACCAGTAACGCCAACCATTTATTCAAGTTGAGAAGAATCGTATAACACAATTCCACGTCACTTTAAAAAACAAAAACAAAAAACACAGATTGGGAGTTACTGGAATTTTTTAATTTGTGGATTTCTGAATAATACAATCCAACAGAGAATGGAAATGGTATAATCCATGGGTCCACAAGCATGGAAGCACACATTCAATAGCTTCTAGTCTGCAAGCACATGTAGAAAAGGGGAGAAATAGAAAGTGAACCACTGATTGCCCATAATGAAAGGCTTTACAGTTACATTTTCATCTGAGGTATGGGTCACAATTGCTTTACAGAGCAGAGAGCCAGACCTGTTTAAATATATTATTTTCAGAGGGACAAGTTGAACCTTATAAACCCCAGCAAGGAATTTTTGTGTCATCCAACTGAATCATTTGTTATTACAGACATCCAAATGATATAACCTTATTCATAACTTTTTCAAACTCTGTCTTCATTAATTGTTTTCTGCCACTGATCATGTTGGAAGTCTGTTCTAGTAAGTCCATGTTAATAAAAGCATAAAGCATGACTTACATTACTACAGAATTGACCTTCAGCTTTCTTGCTGCCTCAGATTTAGTTGGGGAAGGGTACATCAGGTACTGAAAGAAAACATAACATCTTCTAAAATAATCAACTTAAAACTGTGCATCTTTTGTTTCTCTTCCTTTTTCTCCTGCATTTCATTGTTTCTGTCACTTCTGTTTCATGCTCTTAATGATTTTGCTTTTTGCGATTCCTTCAACTCTGCTTCCTCCCATCAGAACTTCTTTGTATGGTTTTTGTGGAGAGGAGTTAGGGAGCAGTTTCCAAGCTATCCAGGGACATTGTTCTGTTCCTTCATCACTATTTCTTGCATCACCCCTCCACCATTTTTTCTACTTAGTAGTCATCTTTTTCCCTCTTCACCTAATTGTACTTGTCCCATTAGCCTGTCCACAATTGTGTCTGATTCTAAGATCAGAGAACCACCAGTGGCAGGATATATTTACACTGCAGTCACAGAAGAGACTGCAGTGGAATGAATGTACCTAAGCTAGCTTTAAGTGAGCTAGTTTGAGTACTGGAACAGTCTAGGCATGGCAGCACAGTGCTCAGCCCAAGCTGTAATAAAATTAAGTCTCTGTACATGTTGGCTTGAAGTATTTGTACCACTTGTTGATGAAGTGCCCATTTTAATCTTTACAGGGTTTCAGAAAGCAAAGCTTAAGACTTTGCTAATTGCATTTAATGCTTGTCACTTCAGGATGTATGCTTTTAGCGCATGGAAGTTTGCATTAGTAGCTTTCACATGAAAATTGACACGTGTGTGTAGAAAAGCACTTTTTACTTCTCACAGATCTGGTTATGTTCTAATACGCTAACTTTCAGTTCCAGGACACTTTGTAAGCTCCAGTAAAACAAGGATTTTTATAACAAACTGATAAGCTTGTAACTAACTGCAGTAGTAGGTGACAGTATAATACATTTAACTCTGTAGTATAGTTTTAATGAAGTAGCATTGAATGAGGGTATTATTATAATTTGGTGTGTGATTGTATTGCATAGCAAAGGTTGTCATTATGGAGTAAGTATTCAAGAAATATTAACCTACTTGTAATAAATACAATTAATAATGTACATAAAAGAATGAAATTAAGTACATTTTCTATCAAAAAGAATTATTAATGAACAGAAAGTGGACAGCATATATTAGATGCCACCTTCCTGTCATCAAATCTGAATTACTGAGTGACCTAGGAAGCTTGCTCAGAGGGATTACAGAATAATTATGTTAATATGCAATTATCACCTCATTTCTTCTGTAGTAACCTCAAGATGTAGTGTAGTAAGGGTGTTATAGCAAGTGCTGATAGTTTGCAAAAATACTGATGTTTGAGATTTTTAAGACAATAAGATTAGCTTGAGGCATTTAAGTGATGATCTGTCATCTTGAAGACAGATCTGACCTTTTGCACTTTTTAATGCTTCTAGTGTCTGGCTACAGGCAGTTGTAGCTGTAAAACTCATTATGGTTTTCTAAAAAATGAATATTTTATTTTTAAAAATAACAGTTACTTTTGTAAATCCACTTATAAATGAAGTTGTGAGGGGGAAGGGTGTTCAGTAATTGGGCATGTTCTACTCTTGGCTGTGCTGGTGTGAATGTGGAGTAATTACAATATAATTGGTTGCGTCTATAAATCTAGACTAACAGTAACTGCGGTAAGGTTATTCGAGATTTAAAGCTGGAGTAACTGAGCAGAATATGACACAGTGTTTAAATAATATCACAACCATTGTGAGCCTGATTTGACAATGAATACAGCTGTGAAACCTTTTCAAGATGGGTTTGTATCGGTTTGGTTTTATATAGTGCCTTCCATAATTTTGGCACTATTGCAGTATCAATGATCTTTCATGCAAGATTTTAGTCAGGAGATGTCTTTTTATTTGAAATTGGCTCCACTGTCTTGCTTAGAAAAATGCAGATAATGCTTAGTATGACACAAAATTCAATATGTGCTACTTTCAGCATTTATAAATCTCTTTAAATCCTTTGGTGTTTAAGTGGCTGATAAGCAAGTACAGTAAATATAAGTAACTTCTGTGTTATATGATACCAAATGAGTATCCCCTTAAGCACATTCAGATCTCAGTTTAAAACTGCATTAAACTCTTTCAACCTAGTGTATCATTCAGGCGTAAATTTCCAGGTATCAGAGTAAGCGATTGTATGTCTAATACTTAAGCACACGCCAAGAGGGTTAAGTATTGATTTCAGTCTTGAATCTAGGAAAAGAATGCCTAAAATTGTAAGTAAACTTAGTTACACCTTTGGATAGCTCTAATACCAGCTGTTACACATGGCTGTTACCTTATTATGTACTGTGATAGCTGTAGGTTAGTAAACTACAGCTTGTCTGTTTAATAGCTGGGAAATTGCTGAAACTAGCTTAAAATAAAATTATTAAAATATTAAACCTGATGTTATAATAAAGATCTTGGGCCTGCTGAAGTCTATGGAATGACCCATGTTGAGACGAGAATCTTTTGATTAGGTGATCTGACTGTTTCTTAAGCTTCATAAATAGGTAATACCTGAAGAAGTTTATGAAAAATAAAAACAGCTGGTATGATTTAATTGTCTAATTATTTGCCATAAGACTGATGTAAATTTCTGACTGGAGGCACTTGGGCGATTTAATAATTATTAAAACTTATAGAAAATGAAAAAATTAAAGTGCTAAATTCTTTATATGTTTACAGCTGTGTGTATGCAACAACATCGTTTTGTAGCTTCATCATGTAAACTTGTGGAAAGTTTTCATGAAATCATTCTGATAATGAGGATTGCAATCTCCAAGCAGGCATGATATTCTCGGTTTGTCACCCTGCTGTTCAGGGGGTACCAATGAAGTTGCTTTAAATGGGAAGCGTCTGTTCTTTCTCTGAACCCCTAACACCATAACAGATGGGTGGAACATGGAAGGTTTTACCTCAGAGGTGGTAACAGTGAAGCCACTCATTAACACTGAATTTACCACTTCGTTAGCAACGTTGCTTCCTGTTGAGAAAAGCTAATATAGGCTCTCAAATTGACTGAGCATATATTTGTCTACCTCTGTGAATATAATAAGATGAAGTAAATACAAATCTTTCAAGGATAATTAATTTTTAAAAATTAAAAACATTAAACTCTATTTCTGAACTATTGAATACCCAGCTACTATTGAAAATTTAATGTGTTTTGCTAATTTGGTTAGATCTGATAGAAAAAGAGTTGTACATCCTCCAACTTGCTCTTCTTTTAACTGACATTTGCACTACTGCTTTTTAGCAAATGTTTGTGCTGCCCATTTTTAACTTGTGTATGGGATGTAAAGACACCTGCTGGGTGCTGCATTATCACCATTTTAGGGTGATAACATTGAATATGATCTTATTGGAAGTCTATCTTTATTACCATGGAAATTTGCCAATCTCAAAGCTGCAGAGATCTTTAGAAATTACAGATTGGAAAGATTAAAAATTAATTATTTTGTTTAGTTCATAGGCTTGCATAAGAATACAGTGAACTCAGTTTAACTATATTTGTTTTGCTTTGTTCAATGGCTTTTTTTAACATACTATATATATTTGTCTGCTAATTGAGATGATTGTTGCCATAATTTTAAGTGGGGGGTTTTCTGTGTCATTCTGCTGCTGCTGGAAAGTTTTTTTCATTATATTATCACTTCATAGTCTGTAGTCCCACTTAGTTTCTATGTGGTTGTACAGAATAAATGCTGGGAATGTTAAATAGTAATGTGGTTTGTTTGTATTTTTTAACAGAAGGTTGAGGGGGGGTAAAAAAAAGTCGGTTGATAAGTCTGTGCTTTGCTGTCCTTATAAACTTGTGCCAATATGCGGTAAGTAGGGATGGAGCTGAATTTGCATGAGACTGAATTTTCATGAGGCAAGGCATTTGTGCCAGCTCGTATTGGAAGGGATATGGAATATATCTTAAAAGTGAACTGTAAAGGATAGAATAGACATGTTGGGTTTATTTTACCACTTTATGATGTATAAAGGTTAAAGTATTTTTTTAACTTTTTTCCTTTAGGTAACAGGGATGTCAAGTGTGGCTTTCCTTGTTTTTAGTGAAGGACCATTGGGAAGAGCCATGGATGTTCACTGTGAGTTCTAACACCTTAATAGAAGGAGTGTAGATAATGACTCTTTAGCAGGTGTTTTATTCAAAATGTTAATTACTAAATTTAGGTTAAAATTTAAAGCTCAAACGTGACTTGGTGTCTCTTTCTGGGTATATATCATTTGAGGGGTAAGCTGGTGTGCCACAAACACACAGTATTTGTTCTGCAGTGACTCCTGAGTGTGTTTGTCTAAGGAAACTAGTGCTTGTTGGTGCATTTTACAGTGCACTTGCTTCCTTTCCTGAGTCCCACATGTATGCTCTCAGTGCATACTAAAAGGGAGTTTAATCCACTTTTGTTTACTGTGCTGTAAAGGTATTATACATGTAGAATTAGAGCTGAGTAGCTAGAATGCTGCAAGCCAGTGGTTCTCAACCTTTTGCACCTTGCATCCCACCAACCGTTTTGTCAAAAAACCCTGGTCCCACCATGATAAAAAGAAAATTCCACTTTTTCCCAGAAGTATATTTTTATGTTTATATGCATTTTAGTATTATGTTAATCATTAATGGAAATTTTCAAATGAGTTGAAGTCCCACCTACATGACCTTTGTGTCTCACCAGTGGTTGAGAAACTCTGGTGTAAGTTAACATCCTAGCCGACTGAGCAGTAACTTCCCTGTGGAAAAACAATCCCTCTCTACACACTAAGAATGTCTGTTAAGTGGGACTTAATGCAGAGCAGTTGAGTGCTGTAAATTCACACCTTAGCTTATTGTGCACTGACTGGCATCTGCAGACAAGCCTTTAATGTGTATCAAGTTCAAAGTAACTTATTCCAGTGTGTAAACAGAGTAAGAACCTCTTATACAAGTACACTGTTAAAACACTAAAGGTCAGGTCCAATGCTGCTTATTCAACATTTATGAGTCAAAATGTGATCTTATTCCATTCTGCTTGAGTCCCTCATATATAACATAACTTAATTTCAATCACAAATTACACCTCTTTCTTCACACCATTCACTTTGTGCTGTCTACTTTTTAGGGACTTGAACAAGAGGGAATAGGATTGCATTAGACATCTTGGGTGCCTGTACATATGCTTTGATGCATTCTAATTGGAACACTCTAGCATTGCTGCAGTATCACATGTATAAGACCCAGCAGGTTTAAAAATGGCCGCTGGGGCACATTAACTAAAACTCACTGAATGAGGTTTAGTTAAAATGTCCCACAGTCATTTTTAAAAACACAGGGGCTTAGTACACGTGACACTGTGGAGTTTAAATTAGAGTAGTTATGCAGGATGCACTCTAATTAAAATGCCCTCCCACATCTACCCCCAGGCGTGTATAGGCACCCGTTAGTACCACTTGAGTAGTTTGGATCTGACTTATAAGTGACCTCACCAGGGCTTAGTGTGAAATAATTCACACACTGTGAACTTGTGCCCTGGCTTTACTTCACATTTAACTTCCCCATGTAGATAACCCCTAATTAACTTTTTCTCTCTCTTTTTAAATGGTTTTACTTTGACAACCCAAGAAGAGAGGAAAAAAACTTATCTGGCCCACAGCTGAGTGGTGCATGGCTGGTTCATGGTTTGGATCTGGAGCGCAGGGCCTCTGGGCCAGACCTGGTTTGTGGTCACTTGTCACCTAGAAATTTTGGTGGTGCTAATTATTGCAGCTCCCAGAACCACGGCAGCCACTGTTTGTCCCACCATTAAATTTCCAGCCTGTGGGCCACCCCACAAGCCATCTGACAGGGCTTCACGCTTTGGATCCAGAATGCAAGTGAGATATTTTGTGGTAAGATGACTGGCAGCTGCCATAGCTCTGAGGGCCAAAGCCATTAATGTGGTCTTTCAGGCCACCATATATGTCCTAAGAGAGAAATAAAGGGCAGAAGCAATTCTCTTCTTCTTTTTTCTTACAAGACATCTTTAAATTCAGTAACTGATTCTAGTACACAGGCTTGCTTTTATGGTTACTGTGATATGGCCTAAATAGGGGTGCACCAATACATCTGTCCGATATTGGATTGGCATAGATATAAAGAAAATTGGCTGTATCGGAAATCTGCTTGATATGGCTAATAAATGGCCCATGCACATGTACAGCCTTAGCACACCATGTAGGCAGTGAGGAGCACAGCCTGGCAGGTTGGGGATCTGTACGCATCTGATAAATCTGTTGTGGTGGAAGGGGAAGGAAGGGGTGTTGGGGGGGGGGCAGATCAAGGCTCCTGTGGTGAGGGAGGGAGTAGGGCTGGGTCTGGGGCAGAGGCTGGGGTAGGTGCTGCACAGGTGGGGTGGGGCATGGGACAAAGCTGCGGCGTACACCCTGGGGGGGGG